TAACCCCTACCCTTTCACAAATAATGTACATAAACATATTTGGGATAGCTCAATGCAAAATCTCTATATATAGTTAAAAGAAAAACAGCAAGACAAATAACTGCAATATAATATATCAAACTATAGTATATAAAAAATATTTTTCATGGAAGTTTGGTTTAAGATAACTGTTGGAAAGGTTCTATGAAGGGAAAAATTATTTCCATGACAGGTAATCAAGGAAAGTTTCACAGAAGAGATGAGCTGCAAGCTGGGACTTAATGGATGAGTAAAATTAGTAAGATTAGTATAAACAGAACTTAGGAAACAAGGATTACAGAAAGAAAAAACACCATGGCTAAAATGTAGAAGTGAGAAAGCACAAGCCACATACAGAAGAACAAAAGAGATGTACCTGACTGAATGAAAGGTTATGAGTAGGGAAACACAATAAAATATTAGGTTGCAAGGTAAGTTAGAAGAACATATCCCACAACAAACAGGCACTTCTTGCTATTTGAACAGGTTAAAAAAAGGTCAACCTGTCAGTATTAAAAAGGATAAAAGAGAAAAGAGAAAAGACTAAAGGTAGGAAGGTAACAGTACAGACTCCTATAAAGTGAGGCCTAAAGAAAAGAACTTGGGAAACCTAAAAGAAGGGAGAAACAGAGAAGACGCTGTGAAATAAAAATTCATCAGATCTAGAATCTCATTAGATGTAGGAGAGAAGGGAAGGCACTTGGGATGAGGAAATTTAATGGCAACTTACATTTTAATTCTGGGTTCTTGGAAGAATTATGGCACATTTTAACAAAATTAAGAAAGTCAGAACTAAAAACTAGTCTACAAAAGAAACGCTAAACGAAAAATTAAAAAAATAAGAAGGCTAGTTTGGGAAAGAAGAGGAAATACAAGTCCAACTGATAAATACATTTCCAAAAGTGATCATAAAAGTACATAGGCATAAGCTACAAAAATTATTTTGTAAAGAGATTTTGGTTTCTTAGAAAAATAAAAATAGAAAAAGTGATACAGTCATGATAAATAGACAATTCAGAAAAGAAACACAAATGATCAATATGGCAGAACATACTAATAGAATTTTATACCACTTAAAAATTAGCAAAGATTTAACAATCAGTATAAGTAAAGGTAAGACAGGTAATGCCGTATATTTTGCTGTGTGAAAGGCAAACCGATAATATACATCAAAAGCTTTCAAAACATTTGACATACATTTTGACTAACCAACTCCAGTTTTAAGAATTTAGGACCTCCCCCCAAAAAAATGGCTCTAGAGGAAAACATATTTACGATATAGTTTATGTCAGCATGGTTTAGATTAGTGAATAATTTTTACCATAAATGTTCAGCAACAGAGGATTAATTAAATAACTTGGTACAGAATATTATGCAGCCATTAAAAATTATGTGAAATATATAAATATCATGAATTCACAATATTCTAAATAAAAATACCAAATAATTTAGAAGATTTTTATAAATTTTTATAAATAAATTCAGCTGTTAACCTATCCTTCTGGTACTCACTGTTAACACTTTGTTCTGTATTCTCCATCTTCTTTTTATGTGTATGAATATATAGACATAAAAGTAAAAACTGTACCTCTTTTTATTTACCTATCCTACTTAGTTTAAACAAATTAAAAAGTTAAACAGTGCTGAGAATAGAAGAGCTGGTTCTTACTTAAACAGAATTAAGAGAACAAAGTCCTTAATAAAATACTAAATCAAAGACTAAAGATAGGTTAGGTTACAGATGTGCTGATTTACGTGACAACTAAAAGCAACATAAAATCCTGATTGGCACCTAAACCAAGAAGAAAAAAATGTTTTTCTCTTTTGCTTAGGACATTGTTAGGACAACTGGCAAAATCTGAATGAAGTGTATAGATAAGGTCAGTATTATATAAATATTATTTTCCTGATTTTCATAACTGTACTATAGTTGTGTAGAAGAATGCCCTTGATTTTAAGGAAATTCATACTCTATATTCATTAAGAATATAAAGTAGCATCATGTCTGCAACTTATTCTCAAATAGTTGAAAAATCATAACTGGTATATAATACAGATTTATATATACAAATATATATTTACATATATATGTGTCTGTATAGAGAGAGAGAGAAAAAAATATGATAGAGCAAATGTAGTAAAATGCTAACATTTGGACAATCTGCATGAAGAGTCTAAACAGAAATTCTCTGTAGAATTCTTGGAACTCTTCTGTGTCTGAAATTATTTCAAAATAAAAAGAATTTTAAACACCAGGGGAAAAAAGTGACGATTTAACAAAATTAAACATCATTCATTCATTCAATAAAAACTTACTGAAAGTCAGACGCTAGTACACAGCCCTAAATAAATTAAATAAAAACCCCTTCCTTCATGCATGTTACCTTCTAGTAAGGGAGACCGACAATAAGTAAATAAGTAAAATGCATACTATGTTAGATAGCAATAAGTGCTATAGAAAGAGGTGGAAACACACACACAAAGGGAATAGTAAGTCTCCCTGGGTAAAACTGAGGATTTGCCATTTCATCTTTAGGGGAGGCCTCAATTAGATGAGACAGGGCCCTCAGACAAGGAGCAAGCCTAAGCTTGAGCAAAAGCATATGACAGTGGCTTAATCAGTTTTGTAGGTAAAAATGATTGATGCAATTTACAAATAGATTAGACAGGATTTGCTGATAGATTGGATACAGGCTGACAAAAAAGAGTCAAAGATGATTACACGGTTTAGAGCCTGAATAATCAGAGGAATGAAGTTGCTATTAGAGAAGAAAGGCGGGCAGGGGATAGGAAGCTTGGGAATTTGGTTTTTTTAAACATCTTGGGTTCATTAAATATCTAAATGAAGATGCTCAACAGGTATCTGAGTCTGGAGTCTAGGGGTAAAGTCCAGGCTGGAGACATAAATCTGGGTGACATAAGCTTAGAGATGGTATTTAAAGTCATGAGATCAGATGTGATCACCAAGCAAATAGTGTGTGTAGACAGAGAAAATGATGTTCATTATTTGTTAATACAATCACAGGTCAGACATAAATGTGACACTATATAATGTTTGTTTAGAGATCATTAATTATTTGGGTAGAGAGCTACAATAATAACAAATATGAATTAAGACAACTGCAAAATAATGGTTGTTTAATAAGAAACAAAAGTATCTGATAATAGTACACTGAAAAGAAATACCAAAAATAAGATGCCCTGTAAGAATTCAGAAATAAGGAAAACAACACTGCTCATAATAAAAAGTCCTTATACTATTTATTTTCATTTCACTGAGTAAATGAATAAAACCAGAGATCCATGAAGTCCTTTTAAAAAGTATGAATAGTATTAGAATAGCTAAACAAAGAGTGTATCAAGTGAAACTTGGAATTGTTCAAAATGGAGCCAGTTAACAGAAAATGTGCAAGCAATCTTCAGAATGGGTACTGTGGTATAACTCAAATTTGATCGTTCTGACAATTATACCTCTCCATATTAACTAATAGCTTGGCATTCTGGCATTTTAATTTAAGAGAAAGAATTTGGAAGTTAGGATAACAATTCAAATCCTAGCTTTACCACTGACACAGTGTGTGTGACCTTAGGTAAATTACCACTTCCTATTTTTTTTCCTACCCTACAAATTGCGTATAAGACTTATTTCATAGTATTGGTGTGAGGATTAAATGACATAAAAAGCACCAGCTCACTGCAAAGTCCAGAGTAGAAACTCAAGAAGGTGTGTTGGTTCCAAGATCAAGAAGTGGGCCTGAGTCAGGCGGAAGTGTAGATAGCCATGGGAACTAATGAGGGTGAAAATACGGACCAAAGTCTAACACAAGTCTCTAGAATGCTACTATCCTATCCTGGTCAATATTTTTTCAATTCCATAAACAGAGATGAACATGTACTATTTACCTATTAGATTACGTAGTAGCAATTTCACTAAAAATGAAATCATATTTCCAACCCCAAAAGAGACAAGCATTTGGATACACAAACTCCTCATCATCAAGGAAAGCAAAATATTACAGAGATGCAGCTGTAGACACATCAGAATTAAATAATTTCTAAAGAATAATACAATAGCCTGCTGAAGGGGTGATAAATTCTCCTTAGGGAAAAAAATAAAGGCTTTCTTGAAGGAGACAGCACTTAATCTAAATCTTATAAGTGAAGAATTTCAATTGGAGGAGACAAATTCAAATGAGCAATCATGTAGGCAGTTCATTCTCCTATCTTCAAGCTAAATTTCCTAAGTTTAGTCTTACTTCCTCTAAGACTTTTTGCACCTATAACCCATGAATCTTAGAGAAACCAATGTTAACTTGCCTATAGTCTCAGAAAAATCATACAGTAGTACAGGGCTATAAAAGGAAGCTGAAATTTTCCATAATAAGAACTTTTATTTAAAAAATTGCTAACAGAAAAATCACATCATAAAAATAAGCAGAAAACAATCTAAGCCTTAACCTCTTGACCCACTGATACTACCGTCTGAGAGCTTATGCTGCCTTAAGTTAAATAATCACTGTTGTATTCAGAATACATAAAGATATTCCTCAAAGTAAGGATACCTAGAGCTCTTCTAAACTTCTCAATCAAGTATCAATGAGAATATATCCTGAGACCAGCCCCAAATCCCAAACTAGTACTACCAAAATGCACACTTAAGAGCTCACAAGAAATCACAGTTACATCTAAAAAGCAGGGAAGTCATAACTAACTACAACTCATTCCATGTTAATTATCTTCTTTACGACTTCACATGGACCACCATTTATTTACAAGAAAAGTATGAAGAGGAAAAAAGATACTATAATCAATTTCCTTTTTCTGATCACTACCAAGCCAATTTATGAAGCAAAGTTTACAAGAATCTCTAATTTATCACTAAAATAAAAAAAAGTATTAACAGTACTAGAATCAACAGCTCATATCAAGCCCCTCTGCTTGATAACTATTATAAGAATAAAGAAGACAAGCATAATACATACTGGAGGCCGGCCAGGACGACCCCTTTTTCTTTTTCCTTTGATCTCTGTTTCTTCAAGTTCACTGCCAGCATCGGAATGGGCAGTAGTTTCATTAGTTGAATCCCTAGAAAATGTGATATATTATTTTAGTGAACAAATTAATTCATAAATATAATGCAGTTCTGTCCCACTACTTTCCTTACCTCCTGCTATAAGGCTGATTAGAAGTGGTTTATACTTTTAGAAAAACTCTTTAGCAAACTGAAAATGTTATCCTCCCTGCCTAATATCATATAACATTGAGTGAAATGAATCCCCTAAACCGAGAAATAAAGAGGAGGAAATGACTGTGGAAATGGCACCTGCTATACAAAATATAAATGCAAAATACAATTGCAAAAAACTAATTCTTCAATATAAAAAGATAAAGGCTTAGGAGGAATTTTATTCACTTCATAAAAAAATCATAAAAGTGGTATGCTGGTAAATGTTTAACAACTGGCTCTTCAAAAAAATATGCACATGGGTTATTAGAAATGTTACCAATATAAAGGATGCATAGCACACAATTTACAAACAACAATAAAATACACAGTATTCTTTATTGCAAATTTCATATAGCTAATTGATTCACATAAATAATTCTGACAATTTTGCCAAACTCCTGTATCCATAGCTAACCTTTCGTTGCAACTGATGATGAAATAGGGTTTTGACATGAAAGACGGTTGATACCCTTGTTCACTTTAATGAACAGGAGGCAAGTAAAATGACAAAGATATATGTTGGAACTTCACTCATTCAGCAATCATGTGAGCAACTTCTTTACTGAATCAGACAGTATTTCTCAAATACTGGAAGGATATTTACTCAATTTTTTGTGCTATCATAATGTAATAGCCATACACCTGATACACCTTTAAGTTTAATCTGCATTATTAATAATTTCTCCATCATTTTATTAAGTCTAAAGCCATTTTCAAACTACCAAAGTGACACCACCAAACAACAGTTTGGCAGTAATGAACAGCAGTAGTATACCACTGAAAGATTTTTCCACCATAAAGATACAATAGGTGCAAATAAAAACCACAGGAGCAAAGAAAACAGTAATATGTAAAACAATTAGAAAGTGGTGAGTTTTGAGTATTTATTACCTTTATACTTAATATGATTTATTTAAAGTTTATATAATTTAACTTTTTATAATCCCTATGTTATATTAATTGGGTCACAAAATTCCTGGAAATTTAATATTCAGCTCTCCAGACAAGTACAGGCTGGCTCCAGCACAGCACTGAAAAAGTATAGACAGTATGAATGATAACTTCTTCATTAAATTCTACAATACTAACTGTGTAAAGAATCTGCATAAAACTGCAGATAGCAGGAAGAGTACAGAGCAAATGATAAGCCCAACTTACAATCTACTATTGCTCAATCTACTTCATTGAGTGCTTTTAGTTCTATTCCCTCTTTGTGCTGATTCCTTAAAGCTCAATTCTTCAGTGTCTGCTCTTCTCCCTTTATACTATACTCTCTTGGAGATCTCATGCACTTGATGTATAACTTCTATGCAAACGACTCCAGTATATTATCAACAGACCTGACCATCTGTAATTCAAGATTTTTAACTGCATATGTAACATGCTCCTTAGAATGCCACCTCAAATTCACCAAATACCACATATAAAATTAAGTCCAATACTGACTTATATCTAGCTCTCTGCTCATAGCAACATCCTTAACTGATTTATTAAGTGAATGCATGAGTGTGCTTTAAGTTGTTAGACAAATTTATTATTGTCATTATCCTGTCTTACTCAAATGCTTAGAATCACATCAATCTTCCTCTTGTGCCATCAGCTAAGTCCTCCTGAGTTGTCATCAGTTTAATAATTCTGTCTCTCATTCTTTGCACGATTATTACCAAAATCACTAGTCCCTGAATTGATTTCAACTTATCTCCCTACTTTTACTATTTCCCATGTCCAAGTCATTCTACACACTGCTGTCAGTAATATCCTTTTTTTTTTTTTTAAAGACTGGCACCTGAGCTAATATCTGTTGCCAATCTTTTTTTTTTTTTTTCTTTTTTCTTCTTCTCCCCAAAGGCCTCCCAGTACATAGCTGTATATTCTAGTTGTAGGTCCTTCTGGTTCTACTACGTGGGACGCCGCCTCAGTAGGGCTTGATGAGTGGTGCTGGGTCCGCACCCAGGATCCAAACAGGCGAAACCCCGGGCTGCTGAAGCAAAGCACACCAACTTAACCACTCAGCCCTGGGGCCGACTCCTGCCAGTAACATTCTTATATCGTGTTACTTCCCTGCTTGCAAATCGTCAAAGGTAATCTAGTATTTAAAATTGTAAATATGTTTACCTAGTCCAGGGGTCAGCAAACATTTTCTTAAGGGTGGGGGGAGGTTCTTAAAGTCTCTGTATCTACCACTCAACTCTTGGCACCATAGCATGAATGTGGCCACAGACAATAAGTAAATGAATGGATGTGGCTATAGTCCAATAATCTTTATAAAAACAGGCGTCAGAGCCACTAGCAGTAGTTTGTCTATCCCTGATCGAGTTAATCTTATTCATCTCTACTAAAGACCAATAAACATCATACTGCTTTTCCTCCTTACTACAGTCCAAATAGACTATGTCTAGCACATACTGTGTGCCAGTTTACACACATTATCTAGAATAAATCTGCACACAAAACCTTGCAAGAAAACATATTATTGTCTCAATTTTACAGACAAGGAAACAAAATATTTGAAAATCTGATCATCTTGTCCATAGTCACATACCTAGTAAGTGGCAGAGTTCACCCAGATCTCAAGGTAAACTTGATTTCTCTACCTCCATGTCAGGATACTAGAATGCAAATATGATGTTTTATATTTCCCGTGTGGACAGAGTCCAATAGTGCTTTTGACGCTTATACAAATCTCCAGGCAACTATGGGAGTAGGTTGGTTCCAACATATAACATGTGACCCATTAGGGAAACTAATTTATCCCTAAGCAATACAGTTTACTGACAAAAGAGAAAAGTACTTCTCATTCTACCAACTGCAGCCAGCTTAAAAAGTGACAGCTATTACCAACAAATAACTAATACATTCCAATTAATGTATGTATGTATGCATGTTTACTAGAATATATGATACATAAATCTTTTTTAATTTCAAGCAATAGAGAAGATATAAGAATAAAGAGTTTCACTTCACCACACCTAACTCTGAATTCCAATCTGCAGAATAACATTGTTAACAGTTAGATCAAGACCCTTCCATAAATATTTGTTTTTGCACACATATGTATATATAAAACAGTATCTATACTTCAATTTTTAAAATTGTAAATTAATAGGAACGTTCCATACAAATACATAAGATTCCTGAATGGTTCTTCATAATATGGATGAAATCTATTTAACTACTTCTTTATCAATGAGAACTTAGATTATCTCTAGTTTTGCACTATTACAAACAGAACTGAAACAAATGTCCTTGTACATTAACTCTTATTACACATCAACAAATATCACTCTATGACAGACACAGTAGAATGCTGGGTCAAGGGGTAAGCAGATTCAAACTTCAAACAACTGCTCTACAAAAACCCTGTAAATGACTAACGTTTGCATTTATAAGATCACTGGACATAAATTAAGACAATAGAAGAATCAGGTCAAATCTTATAAAAATGATTTTTTTGATCCCTAAAACTCTCTAAATTCTGTCTACCTCTCCCCATTTCCACTGTAATTACTTTAGTTCAAGATGCCATCATCTCTGGCCTGGAGACTTGTAAATTTTCCTCCTACTAGGTCTCTTTGCTTCTACTGTGGCTCCTCAATCTAATCACTATATTGCACTAAGTGTGGTTCTCTGAGTATATATCTTACTATGTCTCCCCCATGCTTAAAACGCTACAGTGGTTTCCTACTTCCTAGGGAGAAAAACTCAAAATTCTTAATATGATTTAGCAGGTCCCTGTATGATATAGACCCACCCTATTCATAAGCCTTATCTCATGCCACTTTTCCATTCCCATCCCTGAAAAAAGAAAAAAGTCCCTCAAACGTATCATGATTCCTCCTACCTTAGTCTTTGCACATGCCATTCCTTCAGTCGGGAACTAATACACTGATCCCTTCTTTTTCCCTCAAACCCTCCCTCCACTTCAGACCTAAGTTCATCTGTCTCTTCCTTAGAAAAGTAGACCAAATCAAGGCATGTGTTAAAATTCTCATAAAATCCTCTAATTTTCCTTCATAGCACCAATGGGAGTTTAGATCGATATACTTGTGATTATTTGATTAATATCTACCTATGTAAGTTAAGTTTCATGGCAACAAGGACTGAGTCACTTCTACATGATCTTTTTTCCAAGAACCTGGCATACTTCCTGGTAGTGCACTATGTGGTGAAATACGTGGTAACTGATAATACCTAATAGTAAAATAGCACCAAGGTGACAAATTCATTGGTGATTTTATTACCTAAGTAAGCCAAGAAATAAAAAGGTAACTCACTAGAGTGACCTTTCTAATGTCTACATTAGAAAAATCATTATTAAATTGAACATTAAGAATCATTAAATTAAAAGCTTTTCTTGTTTGTTTTTGAGAAGAACTTAGAGATTAATTTCTAATACATTATTTTCAATTTACACACGATGGAAACTCAAGTTTACAAATACTAAGACACCTGCCATGTTTCCTTTCCTCTACAATGCAGATATAGTACTGCTGGATGGATGGATTAAGCAAGATGATATATGCTGCTAATGCATCTGGCAAAATGCTCAGAAAATTCTACATCCTCAATAAATGCTTCTTAGATCTTAACTTGACCAAGAGTACCATCTCTAGCTGACAGATTGAAAGCAAAGTTCATTATTCACCTCACAGATCAACACTATCCATGACCCATGCTCATATTACAGGTTTACATTTTTGTACAAACAAAATCAGCTATAAAATATATGATGTTAAATACTATCATGGTGATACAACCTCTCTTTAAATACAACTATTTTAATATAACTTCTGTTTCATAGTTAATCAAAGAGATATTTACTAAGGGCCTAGCCTAATACCCAGCAGTGTGCTGGAGCTGGCCTTACAAAAATAAGGCACAAAGGCACATAATTTAGGCAGAAACAATAAGAAAGGGTTATAAAACATCATGTCAGGTACGGTGCTAGAAAAAAACCAGAGAGTATTACAGGAGCACAGGGGGGAATCTACCCGAACTTTCAGAAATCAGAGGAGCTTTGCTGGAGACACGATACCTCAGCTAAGACCTAAAGGACTAGTGAATTGGCCAGTTAAGGGCAAAGGTACATAGGCAAGGCAGACAGGATGAAGATAAACTAAAATACAAAGAAAAGAAAGAAAATACTATATGGAGACCTCCAGACATCATATTCAAGTTAAGAACTAATGAAGCTTGCTGTAAGTAACTAGGAAGAGATTAAATTGTATCTCCTATATATGGGGAAAAGAGGGAAGGTACGTATTGATGGTTTTTAAGCAGGTAAGGTAATTTGGACAGTTCTTTTTGTCTTAGAGTACTGGAGGAAAAAACGGAAGGCCAAGTGACCAATTAATTACAAGGCAACAAAAGTCTCTTGGAAAAGAGATATATAAATGAACTGAGGTAGTAAAAACATATAAATAATTGCATAAACTGTTAAACATTTTCATTATATCCAAACCATTGGTATAAGATCACAGTATGCAGGTTCCTAATAGCATCTTGATGAAACCAATAAAAGGCAAAGTATATGCCATTACACTGATAGCATTTCCCAGAGAACCAGAGAATACAAAATAAGACCCATCTCAAACTCAGGGAAAAGAAACCGGGGCGGGGGGTGCACACACAGGCAGGTTAGAGAAATAGTACGATATAAGACAGCAGTCTACAAACTTTTTCTGTAAATCGCCAAAAAAAAGAAAATTTATGCTTGGTGGGCAATTCATTTTCTATCACAACTTGTAGCACAAAAGCAGTCAGAAACAATCTGTAAAAGAATGAGTGTAGTTCTGTTCTACTAACACTTTATTTACAAAAATAGGCACCATGCCAGATTTGACCCACGGGTCACAGTTTGCTGACCCCTAATATGACAGTAACATCTTTTTGTTCAATGCACAGAACATACTGACATTAAATAGCAAGGGCCATGGATGGACATAGTAATCATACACTTCCAATAGTTCTTTCAAACATACTGCCTGACCATCAGAGAGTATATTTGATGAGTCTCATTAAAGAGAATACTTTGATACAGAAAAATGTTATATTCTTTAGAAAAAAAAAAAAAAACTACAATACTTACTGTAACACTGGTAACTCTGAAGTAATCATTGCTGGAGAGCACTTTCCACAATGGAGCAAAAGAATCAAGTGCTGTACAACCCAAACTTTTAAAATAACCTCAAAGGCAATCCTGTTAATAAAGAAAAAGAAAATTATTTCTTTCCAGCTTTATTAAGGTATAATTGACAAATAAAATTGTAAGATAATTAAGGTATACAACGTGATAAGTTAATATACATATACATTGTGAAGGACTTTCCCCCATAGAATTAATTAACACATCCATCACCTCACATATTTACCCTTTTTCTGATGAGAACATTTAAGTTCTACTATCTTAACAAATTTCAATTACAGGATACAGTCTTATAAACTATAGTCAGCATACCATACTATCCTCAAACCTTATTCATCTATACCTGAAAGTTTGTACCCTTTCACCAACCTCTCCCTATCCATGTGGTATTTGTCTTTCTCTGTCTGGCTTATTTCACTTAGCATAATGCCCTCCAGGTTCACCCATATTGTCAAATGACAACAACTTCTTTTTTTCAAAGACTGAATAGTATTTCATTTTATATATACTTCATTTTATATGTATATTTAATTATATTTATACATATAAATTATATTTATATATATTTATAAACTATATGCTATATATATATATATATATATATATATATATAGGTATACACACACACACACACACACACACACACACACTAGGTTTTCTTTACTCATTGATATGTTGACACAGATTCTTTCCAAAACTTGGCTATTGTGAATGATACTGCTATGAACATAGGAGTAGAGATATCTCTTTGGAAAAATAACTTCATTTCCTTTGGATATATTCCCAGAAGTGGGATAGCTGGATCATATGATAGTTTTATTTTTAATTATCTGAGGAACCTCTATACTGTTTTCCACAGAGGCTGTACCTCTTTACATTCCCACCAACAGTGTACAACGGTTCCCTTTCCTCCACATCCTCACCAGAATTTATCTTGTCTTTTTGACAAGACATCTGAACAGGTGTGAGGTGATTTCTCACTGTGGTTTTGATTTGCATTTCCCTGATGATTAGTGATGTTCGGTATCTTTTCATATACCCATTGGTCATTGGTATGTCTTCTTGGAAAGAACATCTATTTAGGTCCTTTGGAAATTATTTTAAAATAAAATGAATATGCCAGAATATAAAGACTACAATCAATCAGTACTACCAGCAGCTACATTCCTTGGTATTTGCCCAAATGAACTGTAAACTTATAGCCTGCATAAACATGTTTACAGCAGCTTTATTAAGAATTGACAAAACATGGAAGCAACCAAGATGTCCTCCAGGAGGTGAAGGGATAAATAAAACTCTGGTACATGCAGACAATAAACCATTACTCGGGGCAATAAAAAGAAATGATCTGTCAAGCCATGAAAAGACATAAAGGAAGCTCAAATGCATATTACTAACTGAAAGAAGCCAATCTGAAACCACTACAAATTGCGTGATTTGAAGTACATGGCATTCTGGAAAAGACACAATTATGGAGACAGCAAAAGGACAAGTGGTTGCCAGGGACTGGGGGGAGGAAGAATGAACAGGCAGAAAAAAGAGGATTTTTAGGGCACTGAAACTATTTTGTATGAGACAATAATGGCAGACACATGTCATTAAACATTTATCAAAACCCACAGGATGTACCACACCAAGAGTGAACCCTAATGTAAACTATGGACTTTGGGTGATAATGACATGTCAATGTAGGTTCATGGTAACAAATGTACGAATCTACTGTGGAATTTTGACAGTGGGGGAAGCTGTGTATATGTGGGAAACAAGTAGAGGGGGAATCTCTCTACCTTCTGTTCATTTGTGTTATGAACCTAAAACTTTTCTAAAAAATAAATTGTTAAAAAAAAAGTAGCAGAAGTAGGACAAGACAGAGCATCTAAGACAGGTCATGACACAATATCAAATAGCGTAACATAGGTATGAGACTTCCAGAAAGAGAAAAACTACAGGGCAGAATAATATCTTAAGAGATAACAGAGAACTTTTAAAAACTAATTTAAAACATTAAAACACAGAGGGAAGATCAGAGAATTCCCAAGGAGAATACATATTCTAAAATATAAGTACTACTAAGAAAGAAAGTTAAGGAGAAAATTCAAAAAGAAGCTAAAGAAATAGGATTCCTCACATACAGAAAAACAAAACAAGAATTTGAAAAGACCTTTTGTTGGAAATTATGTAAGCTCAAAGACAATGGAATAATATCTTTAAAGTGCTGAGAGGGAAAACGTGCACCCCAAATTAGATACTCAGTGACAAAAATCTTTCAGAAATGAAAGGGTGATGTCATAGAAAATGGAAGAGTAGGAAACTCCAAGAATCAGCCCCTTTAGTGAAGCAACTCCTAGATTGGCAAAAACTGACAAAATCAACTTTTACAAACATTTGGAATCTAATAAAAACTTATAAAACAGAGATTAACACTTAACAAAGAAAGAGTCTGCTAAATTTGGTAAGAAAGCACTGTAGCATTTTGCTTACCTGTCTACTAATCTTCCCTCTCCCAGATCAATGGTGCCCATAGGGACAGCAGACCAAGTTCCTAGTGCAGCTTGCTGGTGCCAAAGAGAATAATATGGATCTTATTCTCAAAAATTGTGGCTGTAATGTTTTAAAGGACTTCCTGGGTGTCATTTTTCAAAAAGATTTAAAGACATACACTACAAGTAGCTGCCTGGAGCAAGAGACAGCTGATGAGAAAAGCAGAAAAAAGAAAGAATGAATGAATGAATGAATGAATGAATGAATGAATAAATAAAAATTTTTAAAAAGAGAGACAGACAGATTGGCCCAATGGATTTAAAAAACTGACCCAATTACATGCTGTCTACAAGAAAGTCATTTTAAGTTTAAATAAACAAATAAGATTGAAAGCAAAAACATGCAAAAAGATATTCCATGCAAATAGCAACCAGGGGTCGGCCCTGTGGCCAAGTGGTTAAGTTCACGCGCTCTGCTTCTGTGGCCCTGGGTTTCACTGGTTCAGATCCTGGGCGCGGACGTGGCACCACTCATCAGGCCATGCTGAGGCAGCGTCCCACACAGCACAACCAGAGACACTCATAACTAGAATATACAACTATGTACTGGGGGGCTTTGGAGAGAAGGAAAAAAATAAAGGACCGGAAACAGATGTTAGCTCAGGTGCCAATCTTTAAAAAAAAACCAAAAACCTGCATCTCTCATCCCATTAAAAAATAAAAAATTGCAACAAAAAGAAAGTTAGAGTGGCTATGCTAATATGAGACAAAATAAATTTTAAGTCAAAACTTATGAGAGACAAAGAGGAACAGAGTATATTGGGTAAAGATGGTCAATTCATCACAAAGATATAGCAATCATGAAGACATATACACCAAACAGCAGAGTTCAAAATATATGAAACAAACACTGACAAAATTGAAGAGAGAAATAGACAGTGCTACAATAACAGTTGGCAATTTCAATACACTACTTTCAATAACACACAGAAGATGCAGACAGAAGATCAATAAGGAAACAGAGGACACAAATCAACTAAAAGACATATATAGAAAACTCCACTTAACAGTAGAATACTCTCTTTCTTTCTTGTCTTTTTGTTTTTTTTCTGAGGAAGACTGGCCCTCAGCTAATGTCTCTTGCTAATCCTCCTCTTTCTTCTTGAGGAAGACTGTCGCTAGGCTAACATGTTGCTACGCTAACATCTGTGCCAATCTACCTCTACTTTGTATGTGGGACACCACCACAACATGGCTTGATGAGTGGTGTGTAGGTCCGCACCCGGGATCCGAACTTGCAAACTCAGAGGCACCAACACGGAGCGTGTGAACTTAGCCACTACACCACTGGGCCGACCCCAGAATATTCTTCTCAAGTACACATACAACATGATCCAGAATAGCTGATGAGGCCACAAAAAGTCTCAATAAATTTTGAAAAACTGAAATCACAGAAAGTGACTTCTTTCAAGATAATGAAAAGCAGGTAGAATCACAGGAGGAAAACTGAAAAGTGCACAAAAAAGTGGAAATTAAATAACTAGTCGGTCAAAGAAGAAATCACAACTATTTTGAGACAAGTGAAAATGAAAACACTGTATGCCAAAAATTTATGAGATGCAGCAAAAGCAGTGCTCAGAGGAAAATATAGCTGTAAACATCTATATTTAAAAGCAACAAAGATCTCAATTCAATAACCTAACTCTACACTTAAGGAATAAAAAAAGAAAAACAAACTAAACCTAAAAGCAGCAAAAGGAAAGAAATAATACAAATGAGAGCAGAAATAAACAGAGACTAGAAAAGCAACAGACTTGACAGTACCCAAATTAGTTATTTGAAAAGATCAACAAAACTGACAAACTTTTAGATAGACTGAACAAAAAAAGAGAGAAGATGCAAATCACTATAATCACAAATGAAGGTGGGAATATCACTATCCATCTTATAGAAATAAAAAGATTGTAAGAGAATAGGATAAACAAGTGTATGCCAAAGAATTACATAAGCCATATTAAATGGACAAATTCCTAGAAACACACAAACTGCCAAAACTGTCTCAAGAAAAAATAGAAAACCTGAATAGACCTGTAACATGTAAAGAGATTAAATCAGTTATCAAAAATCTCCCAACGAAAAAGTCCAGAACCAGACAGCTTCACCGATGTAATTCCACAAACATTTAAAGAAATAACATCAATCCTTCTCAAATTCTTCCAAAAGATACACGAGGAAAGATTTCCTAACTCAATCTGTAAGGGCAGCATTTCTTTTATGCAAAAGCCAGTCAAAGACACCACAGTAAAACTACAGACCAATTTCCCTTATAAATATAGATACAAAAATCCTCAAAAAAAAAAAAATACTAGCGAACAGAACCCAACTACATATCAAATGCAACATATACCATGGGCAAGTGGGATTTATCCCAGGAATGCAACAGTGGTTCAGCATCAGAAAATCAATCAATGTAATACATTAATAGAAAGAAGGAAAAAAGAATCACACGATCATCTCAAATTATGACAAAAAACATTTGACAAAATCTCAAGGGATACCAAAGAGCCAAAACAC